CAAATACACATCTATCAACAAGTGAATCTAAAAATCAAGTGAATAAATAATCTGATGAACAGAATCAACTGATGATTATAATAGAATCAGGGACATAGAAAGGGAGTGGACTGACTATTCTTGGGGGGGGAGGGGTGCGGGGGGTGCGGGAAGAGACTGGACAAAAATCATACACCTATGGATGAGAACAGTGAGGGCAAGGGGGTAAGGGCAGAAGGTGGGGTGGGAACCAGGTGGAGGGGAGCTATGGGGGGAAAAAAGAAAAACAACTGTAATAATCTGAACAATAAAGATTTAATTTAAAAAAATTTTTAAAAAAATGAATTAGAGGTGCTAAATATAAGCTAAGTCTACAAAATCAATTTCATAGTTAGAATAAAATTTTGTACATGCCCCTTTTGAGCAGAAACCTTAACACATTTGGGTATTGATTTAACGTGGAAAAATACAAATAAATAAAAAATATATCCATTTCCTGGCTAAGATCAACTATAAGAAAGACGAGCCCAGCTGGTGTGGCTCAGTGGTTGAGCATCAACCTATGAACCAGGATATCCCAGTTCAATTCCTGGTCAGGGCACAAGCCAGGGTTGCAGGGTCGGTCCCCAGTGGGGGGCATGCAGGAGGCAGCCGATTCATTATTGGTTTCTCCTTCTCTCTCCCTTCCTCTCTAAAATCAATAAAAATAATTTTTTAAAAAGTTGACAATTCTCCAAAAGTTAATACAGATATAGAATACAATGACACTTAAAAAGTCCCCAATGAGCGAGTGGTTAGAGTGTCAACCAGCAGACTGAAGGATGGCTGATTCAATTCCTAGTCAAGGTATGTACCTGAGTTGCAGGTTCAATGATTGATCCCCAGCCAGGCCAGGTGTGTGGGGCAGGCAATCAATCTATGTGTCTCTTTCACATCAATGTTTCTCTCTTTCTCCCTCCCTGTTCCCCATCCCCCCTCCCCCACCTCTCTTCCACTTGCTCTAAAATTAATGGAAACAATATCCTCGGGAGAGGATTAACAACAAAGAAACTACTTTACAAATTCACAAACTGCCTGGGCATAGTCCAGTGGTTGAGCATTCATCTATGAACCAGGAGGTCACAATTGGATTCCTAGTCGGGGCACATGCCCAGGTTGCAGGCTTGATCCCCAGTAAAAGGCGTGCAGGGGGCAGCTGATAAATGGTTCTCTCTCATCATTGATGTTTTTCTGTCTCTCTTTCTCCCTCTCCCTTCCTCTCTGAAATCAATAAAAATATATTAAAAAACACACACACACAAAAAGCAAATTCACTGACAATGAAATGTATATCTTTGCACTAAATGCAATCAACATTCCCTTCTATCCTTACGTGATACTCTCTCCCTAGTATCACCAGCTATTATATATTTAACTACCTATCACATATATGCTGATTTCCAAATCTGTTACCTCCAGCTCAGAACTCTCCAGTGAGAACACTTCTATCACCTGCTGCATATCTACAGCTAGATTACTCACAGACATCTTAAACTCAACAAACTAAAACTGTACTATCTTTTCTGTTTTTCCATAATACCCCAAATCTTCTCTGCTTCCGGAACTCCTCATCTTGACTGGTAACACCAATATCCTCCCAATCTTCTAAGTCAGATACCTGGAAGTCATCCTAAATTCCTCATACCCTTCATTTCACACCCTACCTTTAGCCTTCTCTCACCTAATCTTTTTAAAATCTTAAGTATCTTCCAGCTAAACATTTTTCAATGAGTGTCAACCTCCTACATCTCCTGTGGCCTACAAAAAAGATTCAAATTGCTAAGCATAAAATACAAATGCCTTCATGACCTGGCCCTTAAGTACCTCATCAGCTATAGACCACCTCTTCACCTTTGTACTTTATATTCTTACTAGTGACTGGGTACACGGATTCGTGCACATTGAGAGGAAATTAATTAGAAGAAATATTTTAACATCCTTATTCGCCCTTTCATTGTAATAGAAGTGTCAACCAAATTCACGATTGACAATGACAGATCGAAACATACATGTACAATCGGCGCCACTGTTGCACTAAAATTCGTGCACTCGGGGGGAGGGGGTGGGTTCTCAGCCTGGCCTGTGCCCTTTCACAGTCCAGGAACCCACAGGGGATGTCTGACAGGCCTGCTCCCCAAAGAGAGCGGGCCTCAGCCGCAGTAAGACATCCTTAGCGCTGCTGCAGAGGCAGGCCGCTGTACTCACTAGCTGTCAGCCTGGCTTGTGACTGAGCAGTGCTCCCAGAGCGCACTGACCACCAGGAGGCAGCTCCTGCATTAAGCGTCTGCCCCCTGGTGGTCAGTGCATGCACTAG